AAAAAAAAATCCTTTTATGTAGAATCATTCTTTTCGTTATTACAGATTCTCATTATTTTCAAGCAATGGGATGGGAGAGTCTGGAGGGGGCAGTGAGTAGCAAGGCTTGGTGACCACACTCTCCTGGCTTTTCAGGCCCTCAGAGAAGACCCTCGGCCACGCCACCTTCCTCCCGCCAAGCATGACAAGGGCACTGCTCGTCTCCTTGGTCAGCTGCCTCCTTGCCCTCCATCAGGCCAGAGTAATCCAACGCTGCGACATGGCCAAGTTGCTTTATAAGGAGGACTTGCATGGGTTTGAGGGCTACAGCCTGAATGACTGTGAGTGCCATTTCTCCAGCCCGCCTCTCTGCTCCTCTTCTTGCCCTGTGTGAACTCCTTCCTCCTCTCCCAGCCACGTTCCAAAGGCAGGCCCCTTCAGGAAGCCTCTCCCAGAACACTCCTCGTTCAGCATCCATGAACTGAGCTTGCGTTCCCTGGGAGGAGCTGCTACAGGCACAGGGGGAATAGAGATGTCCAAGGTCCCTCCACCCTCACAATAGTCAGCCTAGCAGAGGAGCTCGGCAGTACGCAAACTCAAACAGATCCAGCTCTGCCTGGTGGGGACAAATGCTGTGAAGAAGAAGAAAGTAGCAGCGCTGACAGGCGATGCTGTTCTAGAAGCAGGGAAGGCCTGTCTGAGGAGGGAGCATGAAGTGGGGGACCTGGTCATGCACATGTCTGGTGCACATGCCTTGCAGAGAGGGGGACAGCCAGTGCAAGAGATCCGTCTTCCTCTGTGGAAGGAGGATGAGCCTTTCTCTGTTGCACTAGGCCCAGAAGGTGGTACATACCTGTCTTACAACCCTTTCTCCTCCTCCCTTGCGCTGTGGTAGCTTAGGTATATATAGCTTCTGTCTTTTTAAAAAAATCGTTTTACTGGGGGCTTGTACAACTCTTATCACAATCCATCCATCCATCCATTGTGTCAAGCACATTTGTCCATGTGTTGCCATCATCATTCTCACAACATTTTCTTTCTACTTGAGCCCTTGGTATCAGCTCATTTCCCACCCTGGCGCTGTCATAAACCCTTGATAATTTATAAATTACTATTATTTTTCATGTCTTACACTGTTCAATGTCTCTCTTCACCCACTTTTCTGTTGTCCATCCCCCAGGAAGGGGGTTATATATAGATCATTGTGATCGGTTCCCCCTTTCTCCCCCACCTTACCCTTCTGGTAATGCTACTCTCATTATTGGTCCTGAGGGGTTTATCTGCCCTGGATTCCCTGGTTTCCAGCTCTTATATGTACCAGTACACATCTTCTGGTCTAGCCAGATTTGTAAGGTAGAATTGGGATCATGATAGCGAGGGAGAGGAAGCATTAAAGAACTAGAGGAAAGTTGTATGTTTCATTGGTGCTATACTGCACCCTGACTAGCTCGTTTCCTCCCCGAGACCCTTCCATAAGGGGATGTCCAGTTGCCTACAGATGGGCTTTGGGTCTCCACTCC